GCTAGCGTAAATGTAATGAGTTATTGATACTAGAGTATACCTTTGATCACTTTAAAGGAAATGGTACGCTGAACACAGCGGAAAATCTTTGCAGTGGAAACCTAAATTCTGAATTGTGAGTGCTATTGATTTGCTGAGCAGACATTAATGGAATTAGTGAAGAAATGTACACTTCAGTAATTCATTATCCACTGTTATCTCTTGCATTCTTGTAGCAAACGGCAAACCGCTGTACATTTGGTAAAAGATACTTCAGCAATGCAATGAATAACGTAGGCAACAGAAATACACAATTTACGTTTATAAAGTTGCCAAGTTTTCACACATTCAAGCAATAAATACTTCTATCAACACTTGCAGCAACTAGTAATAGCACGAATGCAGACAATATTTCGTTACCTTGGAAACTAAGAACTAATAACTCTATTACATTTTACTGCTTTCAAGTTTAACAATATACGTCAACTAATCTATTCATCCAAGTTTCATTAATTTGTTTGACTAGAATAGTTCGAAAAAGCTAGGCAGTGTGCTATGAAAGTTAGCCATATTTTTGGGTTGACAGCAGTCGTATCCTTTATCGACCTCGAAACATTAGTTTCATGTTATTCATAGAAAAGTTTCAATAGTTCTCGTAGCTATTATTGTGCAAAAAATATTTTGTATTATATATCTACTAGAATTTCTTTACAAATCATTGATCTCAACAGAGGAAAAAGTTCACTTTATATCAAAACAGTATTGGTATATCAGTTATCACCACAGCCTTCATGCGCAATTTACTGATCTATCCATTTTTATCTCTTACAGTTCTACAGCAAATAGCAGAGAGAGTATAAGTGAAATGAGTCACATCCGTTTTGTAGATTTTTTACCCAAAAATGTTGCAGAAAGTTGATCAAAAATGTTGATTGGCATGTTAAACAGTTTTAGTATCGAAAATTCTTACGATTTGGAAAAAAGGGCCATTTAAATTGTTTTGTTTTACAAAGCATGCTGATGTCATCATATTTGTTGTGTATGCACGATTTTTATTTGTTCTGATTGCTTGAGAGAATCTTAGTTTCTCACTTTTTTACCAGCTAGAAATGTTGTTTATGTGTTTATGCACTTCTCCTTACAACCCTTCTGCTAATTGTGTTTGCTGATGCAAAATTTGAAAAGATTTTAGTTTAACAACAAGATTTTTTCTGCAAAAGTTAAGATATACAATAAGACATAATAATTGGCAGAATTATAAATAAATTTGCTAGGTCAAACAAACGAAATGCATATTTGTTACGAAAATGCATAGGAATTATTGATTACAGTCTTATAAACTTTCAGAAAAATTAATTCTCAGCACCGACAAAAACGCCCTGCTCTATCGACCATAGCGTCAACAAGATTGTTGAGGAAATCAAAGCCTGTCTTCAGTTGTAAGTGTGCTGTCCCCGTCGTGTCAGCTATTACCTATAAATTCAGATTATGTATTTGATCGCGTGATGACTGCTGAAGATTAATATATATATTTCACTATTAAATATCATTATTCTTCAAGATATATGCGGCATTATTTTTGAAATGTCAGAAACCTTCCGGCATCCAACGTTGATGAGTGAGTCGAGACCTAAATTCTGTCCAGCGGGTTTATTTTTTAAACATTTCTGAAGTGTCTGATCGATAACTTCAATCCAGTCGTTTACTGACGTTTTTCTGGAACAAATTCATCTAACATTTCATTTTTGAGCAGTCAAAAACTACATTCGTTTGTCTTTCACTAATTCTCACAAACTTATCTAAGTTACTAGAAAACAATAGTGGAACTGTTAATAAATATTCAGGAAAAAAAATGGTTTGCAAATAGAGATTGAATCAGAAAACTTTGATTAATTTTAAAAATTTTAATAGTTTTACAAATTAGGTCAATAAATCAATTAAATGTATTCCTAAGGCATCGACGAGTTTTTGCAGTTTTGAAGAAAGAAAAAACTTACACTAGACTTTTGATTCCAGCAACACATTGATCTAATTTGCTTGCACTACCGATTGAAGCAGCTCCGCGATCACTTCCCTGAACTACCTAAAGTGCTGTGTAATTTAGAAACAGCTCGTTCTTTCTTGGTGATAAAAATGTTTAACTTTTCTATTGTTAGAATAACCTGTCATTTCTACTATCAACTTGCCACAACAACAATTTTTTGCAGCAATTATTTTCAGCACTTTGTGTGTCTCTATGAGTGTATACTTTTTAGCTGCTGATTTTTTGTCAAGCGATTATGTCATCTGCGCGAGATAATCTTACATTGTTAGTTTTCTAAAAATGATTAAATATATAAACACTGTGTAGTTTTAATTCGAAACAAATTGAAACCATCTGATTAATTTGTAATTACCAATGATATGTCAGTGGTATAATCTTCGTCTTTTTCTCACTGTCCGAAATTTGAAATTTGACCTTAGTGTTTTAAATAGCACTCACATTTCTGATTACTTGCGCAATGCTTGTAAGTCGTTGTTTCAGATCTTTTTGAGCAGTTCGAATACAAGCACAAACAGATTTTCTCATGTCCTTGACCCCAGTTTTGCAGCTTACAGGCAAACGATTTTCACACTCTGTTATAACTGCAAGAAAAACCAATGACTTATCTATTTTTATGCTACATTGTTGGAAGAACACATTGAAAATTAAATATAGTTGTGCACTTGATCTGAAATAAAGGGTCTTGTTCAAGATAAATAATGACTGAATCTTCTCGTAAATTTGAATTTAGATTGTCATAGACCGAATCTCTTAGTATTAAGTTTGCACTTCTGACTCAAAACACATACAAAAGTCTTGTTCAAATGAGCACTTCATCTAACATTGCTGCGATTTGTGCAGATCTAAAAGTTAAATACTTGAAAATTTTCTTATGCACCTATAGTGATTGTGAGAAAAAGTTTTACCACTGCAGTGGTTTGCAAGATATCCTTCAAACGGATTTTCTAAGCATTTCCTTGTAGCCTTCGCACGTTCTGGTCTTCGCTCAGAACAGAATGACAAGCGGCTATGAACCAGAATGTGATCCGAAATGGACTTTATCCTAGAAACATTCTGTACCTTTTTGCTACAATAATTTTGCAAGAAAAAGAAAAAACTGAAAATTGCTTCTTTACTATTTCGTTAACGAATCATAACCCCTTACACTTCTTCCTTGAATGCATACGAGCCTTCTTCAAGGTCAGGGAAATCAGGTAAGTGCAGGAAGCTACTTTTTCTCTGCTGTAAGCAGTATTCAGCTTCTGACTTAATGGCTTTCGACATTTCTTGACGTATACATTTTTGTTCATCATCTGGGGTATTCAACAAAGCTTTGATAGCACCAGTAGCGAACTGAAAATATTCAGTTATCCTTTTGAACAAAAATCTGATTATGTCAAATCTTCCGTTGTATAATCAATCAATGCGGTGTTTATTGATTATACAACAAAAGCTATTTTATTAGTAATCAAATTGCTCTGTATGGATTTCTTTATGGCAAATTTTGAAGAATTAAATCTAAAAAAGATTTAATTCAAAATTGATAAAATGACAGACAGAAATAACTGATATCGAATAAATTGTGTGGGATTTGTAGAAATGAATTTTTAGTACCGAATTTGCACTTCTGAAGAGTATTAGAAATAAAAAACCATAAGAACAGTTTAGGAAGCAATCAGATGATTACCGTTCGACAGATGGAACAATCACGCAGTGGGCCGTTACGCTCCCACGCTTTGTTTTCTAAATCAGATAAAGCTAACACGCAGATATCTTTCTGATTCCCTTCAGCTATGTTTTGCGCAAAACACACTTCAATTGCGCGACTGCAAATTTAGAAGAATTTATTTCTACAAGTTAAAGTGGTATAGATGCAAAAAGTAATCTAGAGTTGAGGCTCGGGATTGAAGGTAGTTTTTCTTCCTGTGTTTAAGAATCCTTTATTTTTTGTGAGGTAAGTGAAAAAATCGAGGAAAATTTGCTCGAGATTGGAAAAATTCAATCTTTCTGACGTCAATATAAGGAAAATTCTGAGGCCAAAATCGAGAATTTAAATAATCATGAAAAGTAGGCAGACCGTTTGTGTTGTGCGATTTCTGTCTCAAAACTGCCATATTTAGTGGTTAAGGCATTTTTGACGCATTGCATTTGAGAGCCAAACGCGGATGAGATACCTTCACTTGATGAACAATCCTGGCACAAACTGATTGTCTGTAAAATTTGCAAATGATTGACTACTAGTAAGTAGTTGGACTTTTTATTGCTGCTTACTTTTCATTATTTATTTTTAGTTTACTTTCACGTAAGATTGATCAAATTGAAATAAATAGCAGTCTATGACTGTAGTTTTGAAACTTAAGCTCCTAAATTTTGAGCTAGATCTGAAGAGTCTTTTCAAATATGAACAAGACTTTATATATACTAAAGCAAAAGTCATTTTTCGCTTGTAACTTTCTTTGCTTTGTTCTATTAGTCATTGTTCTCCTTCGTTAGGCAAATAAATGTATTTCGATGGAACTTAAATGGAATTGCTTAATCAGTTCATTTATTTGGCTAGTATACAGTGCATGGAGAAAAACACTATCATTGTTTACAACGAGATTAGATTTAGAAATCAAAGCCACTAACTTATCAAGATATGGTACTCTTAGTTGTGTCTACTAGATCTTTCCGCAGCTTGGTTTTATAATTTTATCTCAAGAAATGTTTCACAAAATTAGAACTTTCTGTAATTTTATGCTAAAACTTGAAAAATGTGAAAATTAACCGCAATGAAGGTTACAGCAAGCGACAACC